ATCAAATAACATGAATCTATTTGGACCCTTAACAGCTTTGTAATGAATATAGCTCGGAGCATTAGACGTCTTCTCTCGAGTGTTGGAAGATCTATGTGTTTTAATTTATTTTCATAGGGGGAGTGCTAAGTTAACATTCCATGGTAAACGCCTAAGAGCAAATAGGAGAAATTGTACTTGTGCAGATTTTATTTTATCGGAATAACATCTATAGAACGGGCTCCAAAGTACACAACCATATTCCAAAGTAGGTCTAACTAGAGTGACAAAGAGCCGTTTGGTCACGTAAGGATCATCAAATTCTTTTGACCACCGTTTTATAAAGCCCAGCAATGATTTAGGCTTTTTATGAGCAAATAGGAGAAATTGTACTTGTACAGATTTTATTTTATCGGAATAACATTTATAGAAAGGGCTCCAAAGTACACAACCATATTCCAAAGTAGGTCTAACTAGAGTGACAAAGAGCCGTTTGGTCACGTAAGGATCATCAAATTCTTTTGACCACCGTTTTATAAAGCCCAGCAATGATTTAGGCTTTTTATGAGCAAATAGGAGAAATTGTACTTGTACAGATTTTATTTTATCGGAATAACATTTATAGAAAGGGCTCCAAAGTACACAACCATATTCCAAAGTAGGTCTAACTAGAGTGACAAAGAGCCGTTTGGTCACGTAAGGATCATCAAATTCTTTTGACCACCGTTTTATAAAGCCCAGCAATGATTTAGGCTTTTTAATACAGGATAACACCCAAATCGACAAACGAGTCAACATTTTCTAATTTATAAGTTCCTATAGAATAATCACAGGGAATATGTTTGGTTCTGAAAAATGATAATTTTTTGCATTTCTTAAGATTTAGCGTCATAACATTAATGCTACACCAATTTGCAAGGGAGTATAGATCGTTTTGCAAATATATACATTGATTTCTAAAATTTAAATTTACAAAAAGTTTAACATCGTCAGCAAACATCAGTACTTTGGACGTTCTTATAGCTGATGGAAGGTCGTTTAGATACAGAACAAACAATAAAGGTCCTAAATCACTGCCTTGTGGTACACCAGAGGAAACTTTAATACTTTTGGAAAGGTTTTCATTAAATGATACTTTTTGGGTGCGGTTTTGTAAGTATGAAGATATCCGTTTCAAGAATATTGATGGGAAGCCTATAATATCGAGTTTGTACAGTAATAGTTTGTGTACGACAGTGTCAAAGGCTTTACTAAAATCTGTATAGATTACATCAGTTTGAAATAAACAATTTATTTTGAATAATATGTTAAACAAATTCAAAATAAATTGGAATATATTCAAGATTAATTGAAATGAAAATTATCTTTTTAACACGTTCGTCTGGAAGTAATTACGTTGTTATGGATGAAACAAACATTGTATGGTATGTATTGATGCAGGAAGCTTAAATGTTCCCGGGGAACATACCAAATCAATTTTTCTTTTATTGTTCATTTTATTTTTAATATTAAATGCAATACAAATAATTGTGGTTGTTACTTTGTTTGTTTGTTTGTTAATTTGGCGTAATTACGTTGTTATGGATGAAACAAACATTGTATGGTATTCACTATTGGATTGTGGGAAGAAATCATAACCTTTCATTCATTTTTCGCGTTTTTTGTTTTGTGTTGAAAAAATGTCAAATATACACAAACACTTATTGCAAATATTTATTTTATTTTTGGCAGAAGAAGCCACACGTGCATAGTTCTTTTTTTGCACTACCTTGTATTATTATACCATGGGTAGTCCATGTAGCGCAGCTGATGTCTTGATTAACTGTGTGAGTAATTTCTACTTGAATTCGATGTGCAGTGTTGCCAACCATTTGAAATATTATATGGAAAATTTTGACAGATAGTCGGGACAAAAACATAGTTTTTTTGTTTTGATACATCACATTATTATTGCATCATGGCATTAGCTCTGTCTATTTACTCGATATTTGGTAACAATTGTTACCAAATGTTACTAAATGTTGTCTGTTTACCCAAAAATCCAGTAAAAGAGAGACAAGTGAGAGAGCAAGTTTTAAAAGTTCAACAACAACAAACTTACTGGAGTTTACTGAAAGAATTGTATTCAGTAAGATTTTGCAAATTCAGCCTTTTTGAGATCAGCTGTTATATGACCAAACACAAAAATTATTCAAAACAAAGTTCAATTTGAAGTTAAGTTGTATAAAAATTACAGAAAATGGAAGAAAATTCGTAAGTAATGCAAAGTTTCATTAAAATAGAAACTAATTCCTTATATAGTTTCATTAAATTAGAAACTAATTCTTTATATATATGTTTAGGCAAGTTCTAGATAGAGGGCAATGTATTGAGTCAAATTATCAAAAAAAAAAAAAAATATTTATTGAAAAAACGAAATATTTTAGAATCCTCAAAAAAAAAATTGGAAACATGAATGAAAATCTATCAAATTTATATTTTTATCGCATCTATATCTTTTCTCTAATTGCGCTATTGGCACTTATATGTGTAGCAAATTTAAAAAAGGCTGGAAATTGCGAGTTATTTCATAAAGAAATATTTGCTTTTGAATGCGGGAGGACATTTAATAAAAACCAATTTCAAATTTTATACGTACCCAATTTTCATGTTTGGTGATTTTTAAAAACATAATCTGTCATATATATATCGACACGAGTATTACGTTAGAATCAAATCAGCTTGTTTTTGCAGTTACCTTCTATAATTATACCATGCTTGTATATATTAGGTTCGTTCCCGTTCTTTTTGATAGTAAAGCTAGTAAAAGAGCGAACTATCAAAAATTACTCTCCCATACCAGATTTGCGCAAAAAGTAAAGGAACGAAAAATAGTTAAAACATAAAGAAACGTCAAAATCAAAAATTGCATTTGTTAAGGACAAAAAAAGACTACAGAAACCTAATGCACAAAAAAAACAAAAAATTAAACAGCGTCCATTGCGTGATTTTGATAATATAAATATTTATTGTTTATTTTTTTATTTGTATAATTTAGAGGAAAACATTATCGAATATTTGGAAGTGGAGTTTCCGACGACTCCGAGTCCGGAAAGGCTTACATGGCTGGACGCTCTCATAATGTTAATGCTATTGAAATTTAGCAAACTTGAACAGCAATATATAGAACAAGTCAAGTTCAGGGCTCCACTCGGATCATTTTGAAATGATCACAGATATATAAATTTCATGTGGGAAAATGGATACTTCCCGAGATATTGGCTTTGAAATTTCGGAACATATTTTCTTTAATACAACACTTTTTCTATTGCCACCAAGGCAATATGGGTATCATTAAAAGGTTATATCGGGTACTTTTTAAGAGAACTTAAGAATAAGACTTTCACATATGGACAGGCGCATACATCGTTATGTATTATATTCTTCATCTAGTTATATAGCACAAACCATAACCTTTAAAATAATACGGCTGATTAAAACAACATACTCTCTGAACTTTCAAGGCCCATATCGCGGGAAGTATGCATTTCTCACTATAAAATATATATATCTCTGTAATCAGTTCACCGAGGACTACTTACTGTAAAAATGTCAAAGCGATCCAAGTGGAGCCCCCCAAAACTTGACTTAAGCCCAAGATAAAAAATCTGTTTGTCCATTTTTAAATTTCTTATTTTTTTTTCAAGCAAATGTGTGTGCGTCTGTGCGTGTGTCCTTTTTGTTCAAGCGCTAACTTTCATATGCTTTATTTCGGACTGTATATCTCTGGCAATCAAATGTCAAATTCATAATTTACTATATTTACTATTTCGTGCTAGGCTAAATTGGTCTTGCAGAAAATAGTAGAAGAGAACGCCATTTTGGTTTTAACTCTCTTAAATTTAACATAAATTTTTCCTACTTTTCGACGTATGGAAACGCTTTTCTAGCAAAAATTGCAAAACTAGTATAATATAGTACTATATTGCAGGTTTGGGAACACAGCTAATACTTTTTTTTTGTCTAGATTACTATTTTCCTTTCACTAAAAGCTCTCAATTTGTAATGAAAAATATATTTCCTTTTTTAAACGAAGTTTATCTTTTGGAAAGCAAAAAATCACCTAAAAATACGAAAAAATCTACAAATAATTTTTATTTTCCTTTGAATTTTCATTTTCGCATTTGTCAACCGTTTTCGTTCATGACTTATATATAATAAACCCTGCCGCACTATGATTTAAATTTGTATGATAAATCGTTGTAAATGTAGCCTGAATGAGAATATAAACCCTTATTCAACCTTTAATTTGATTAAATGTTACATGTAAATCCTGTTTTAGTAAAATGATAACTATGAACTTACATTAGAACCATGATGCAATAATAAGGTGATGTATCACAACAAAAACCTTTGTTTTTGTCTCGATTATCTGTCAAATTTTCCATATAATATTTCAAATGGTTCGCAACACTGCACATGGAATTCAAGTAAAATTACCCACTTTGACAGTTATTTAAGACATCAGCTGCGCTAAATGGACTACCTATTCATTGTGCCATGATTAGAACTTTATACTGGGTTACATACTTCATGACGATTTATTTGGCATATACCATTGCACAATATATGGGTAGTACATTTAGCGCAGCTGATGTCTCGATTAACTGTCAAAGTGGGTAATTTCTACTTGAATTCGCTGTGCAGTGTGAAATATTATAAAAAAAATTGACAGAAGGTCGAGACAAAAACAAATGTTTTTGTTTTGATAGACCACCTTATTATTGCATCATGGCATATATATATGCAATCGAATTGAGATTTTAAACACACTGTGTTAACGAAATCCGGCACTATGTAAACATATTATTAAACCCTTGGTCTACTGTTAATTGCTTAGCGAAATATCGGCGTTGACTAAGCCGCCGGATCGTATACTTTTATATGCACTGAAACAGGTAACAGGCTCTGTTGCCTTAAACTAATATTTGTCATCCAGCACACGTTTCTATTTAAGACGATTTTGATAGGTTATCTGTAAAATGACTGGAGAAGTAAGTAATAATTTTATTATAATATTCAAAGTATTGAATATATTTCTATTGTTATGTTTCAGAAAATAAAAAATTTGCGTGACCTTGCAAATCGAGCGTTGAATGCAGCGGAAGATGAAAGACCTGCTCTTTTTGTGGATTTATCTGAGGCTATTTCCCAACCCGGTATGTATAGACCATGTATTATTTCGACTTCTAAATTTTCTTTTTTTATTAGATATTGAGTGTGCTGACATTCGGAATCTATGTAAAATGCTGGTCACTACCCTAACAAAATTTAAGGACGAACATTCTCAGAAGCTTGTTAGAAATTTGTTAGTGGACATGATAAATCATCACCACGACGCCGCCACAGAAGGATTGATGACAGTGTTCAAAGTGCTTGCATTGAAAGAACTTGCCAATGCGCCACCAAATAAAGCATCAAAAGCTGCATTAATATCTCTCGGTTGGTCGTTTTTACTGAACAAATATTGCAACAGAGAGTCCAATGTTTTCAAGGACGAGTTACCGCGTCTTGTTGATTATCAATCGCATTTATATCAAATAGTGCTATTGGCATCTTGCAATAACCTTAAACGGGCTGCTGATACTATAATGTTTGAAATATTATGTGAAGAGGATTATTACGGTTTTTATAAAACACACTTAATGAAGAAAGATCCTTCGAGTCAATCGTTGTTAATGCTTTTATCTCTCTTGAACAATAAGAATGATATAGCCACGTATAAAGAAGATTTAATTAACATATTTATAAAGGCTGTAATAACCGCCAAGAAGAAGCCGTTTTCGTCTATTATTCCCCACTGTGGTCCACTGCTTAATATCATTTCAAAAAATGACTTTGAAACTATGTTATTACCGCCTATGCAGAGAGCCATTTTGCGAAATCCGGAAATTGTTGTACAAGCTGTTGGTGTAATAATAAAGGAGTTAAGCTTCGATTTCAGTCTATATGCGCTACCACTGGTTAAGGTAATAATGCCAAATTTGTGTTCGAAAGATGAATTGACAAGGAAAGAAGCTGCCGAAACCGTTAATATGTGTTCATCAAAATGTACGAGTGCAGATGTTATAGCTGAAATACTTAAGTTATTATTCGAAACGTTAAATGGATCAGGAGGCAAAGTCACTGTAGCAGAAATTCGAATTAATATTTTAGAGGTAATTTATGATTAAAAAAATCCATTCTATATTTGTTAGAACAAAATTGACGGGCAGCCTTATTCTGGACATTTGGGAACAAATGTACTTTACGGACAACTCTCTCTCATATCATTTTGAAATTTCTCATATCATTTTGAAATTTACATTTTCCGGGGGAAATCAGTACTTCTCGAGATATGGGGTTCCAAAGTTTTGATACTGATAACAACCTCTTTAATTTGTTTGGGGAGAACTTCGTACTTCCAAAGTAACCGGGTAGATTTTTTTAATAAAAATGTAAAATTTTCAATAATGGAGATACAGTAGTGTTCAAAACATAAGCAACTGAAATTGACTATGTGGAAATATGTCGTAATCTCTTTATTTGAAGTAAACAAATATATCAACTTGGTATTTTTTAACATTTTATGTTCAATTGAAACTGTAATTGTTTTTTTTTTCAGAAATTTTTGATATTTTGCTGTAGAATTTATTGATAAAATAGATAACTATAAACACTAACAATGGGTTTTTCTAATTGCCCACATTGATTTTTATAACCCCAACCTTGTTCGCTTGTCATTCCTATTTGTTTGTTTGTGAACAATTTTTCCTAAAGAATTCTTAAACTTTACAAAAAATATAAACTATTATACAAGGTAGATATATAAGGTAGGCGCATCGGAAAATTGGGTACATGATATGTCAAATTTGTTTACACGGCGAATAGTAATATTTTCGCCGTCATTTCAAACTAAGTGCAGTTTTGTAGAAGATACAACAAAACGAGTGACGACATTTGGTCAATCAGTGTGAAAACGTAGAAAAGTAATCAAACACTTTAAGACACTGACAATGATATTTCTTTCGACGTCCCTAATTAAGTTTCTGCAACTGGAAAGATCATTATACAGGACATTTATGATCCGAATTGGAAGAAATTTGGTACCGCTCATATATTTGGTCCAAAGACGGGCCTTATTGAAATGGTTGAATTGAGGTTTAGATTTAGGTATAGCCCCTATATATAGTTTTTTCCCATTTTTATCCATATTGCACCAAAGTCCTAATGTTTGTCTGACTGAGACGAAATTTTTTACAGCGGACCAATTGAGTCTGACTCATAAAAAACGTTACTTTGTCCATAACATCTTTCTTTCTACCAAGGACATAATTTCTAGTAGAATGGGACATATTGATCTACATTTTAGAAAAGTCAAAGTCAATTATACTTATAATAACGGTATTTTTAAATTCGTCAGAGTTGCTATGTTTTGTGCCAGTTAATAATTTTATCAATAAATTTTGCAGCAAAATACAAAAAAATTCTGGGGGAAAATACATTTACAGTTACAAATGAACATGATAGATGTTTTGATAGATTTTTTTATTTTGAGTGAAACAATACAATATCCAGTTGCATTTTATTTGTTGTTTTTGAGTAAAAAATGTACCTGAAACAGTTATAATATACAAAATACGCGATTGTATTCAACTTATCGCGAAACATACTCGGAGCATTCTTTAATCCGAATGGGACAGTTTATGTCTTCAAATTCATATTGAGCTATGTCACCATAGTGTTCCACCTGCTCTTCTCCTGAATGAGCTTCTGGAATAATGTTATTAACTTTTTGGAATTTTGGGCCCGTACTCCGGTCTGACTCTGCTTGTCGCTTAGGTTGTCTGTGAGAATTTTTACCGTTACCATAATTGGTCGGTTGTCTGAATTTAGATCTTGGGCTGTTTTTATCTTATGGACTAATTAACCCTGTTGGTTACCCAGTTAACAATAAAAGACTTGTTTGTCTTTTTGTGAGCTTGAATGAACTGACTTCTTTATTAAAATGAAAAAAGTTATTCTACTTAAATCATATAAAATCAAAATTGCTAAAACTATGCTTCCCATGATCACGCCACCAGACGTAACAGGACTCCAAGCTAAGCACACAACAGTCAACATCAATACAGCCAAGCAAAAGTCATAACAGGCAACACTCGTTTCCACGACAGAGGGGTCTACGATCCGAAACGACCCGAGTCTTACTCGGCCAACGTCTGTCACCTCAGCCCATTGTGTAAAAGCAATAGGGGTGCTACGACAACAACAACAGGCAACACTTGAATTTTAGTTAGGCAGGGATGTATTAACTTACATAAATATACATCTTTAGGTTTCACTTTTGTCAGGCTGTCAGGAAGAACTTAATGAAAAACAAAACAGTGTTGGGCTTAATAAGGTCAAATGTTAGCTTTGCCTTTAAAACCATGGCATTTAATAATTGGAGCATTTACCCTGATAAAATATAAAGTGTTAATGGAAGGAGAAGGGTTATTTATGCCATTCATAAACTATTTAAAAATTTATTGTTTATATGAACAATACAAACAAAATCTCATTTACAGATTAGAATCCAGAACTTTTGCGTCTACAGTAATAAAATTTTAACTATCTTTGCAGTAAAGGCAAAGAGTGACAAAAATTAAGAAAAAGTCACTTTTTTTAAATAAAATAATGAATATATATATAAAAACAATTTATTTGGGGATTTATTACTTTTTCCGAATTATGGACTTATTTCTTTATGAAATAATGACCCTCTTTTAGGTCTTATTTAATTTTATTTTGGGGAGTTCCTTCATTTCGGTGGGAAGTTATTTCATATTGCTTTTTAGGGATTTATTTCATAATTAAACCGATACAATTTACACTGACTTCAGTAAAGCTTTTGACAGGGTTAACCATGAACTTTAATATATAAATTAAATCAAATTGGTTTCAGTATAAATTTAGTTAAATCACTAATGCACAAAATAGTACGATAGCGGTGATGGCTAAACGCGTTTTCTCTTTTTCTCTCTTTTCGTCAGCCATTTTTGATTACGATCTCTCAGTTACGCTCTCAACTACTTACTCTTAATTTAGTTCTGTTCAACACTGAGTTAAATGGATATCATCTTATTTGCAAAATATATCTAAGGTAGTTTTGTTTGATGATTGTCTCTCCAAATCCATTAATGTTCCTTCCGGTGTTCCCCAAGGAAGTCATTTAGGCCCACTCCTCTTTCTTCTATTTATAAATGATTTGCCAAATGCAATAATCCAATCCATGTTGCTAATGTTGTTTATCACCCATAACTCTATGAAGCAAGCTGATTTACTTCAAAATGATTTAAATAGACTTTTGCAATGGTGCGAATTAAACTGTATGGATTTAAATGGGGTTGAAATTCCAATAGGAACTAGTATGAAGTACTTAGGAATAACTTTTAATAATCTACTAAAATTTAATAGACATGTAGGCAATTTTTGGGCGAGAGCATGTAGGATCGATTTCTAGAATTTTAGTAAATAAAGACCATTCAACAAGGTATTACTGTATGATTTTCCAATATGGATTAGCATATCTCTGTAGTGATCAGTGAAATGGACATATTAGAACGGAAGGTCTTACGAAACGGAAGATTTGGTAAATATTCTAACAGTGTGATATATTCCTGTTGGGTTATAGATATGTATGCGACTTAATTTCAAAATTTGTTAATCGTATTAGAGATCATGAAAATAGTTATGTATGAGAAACATGTAGCTGGACTAATTGTAACTATCTATTCCCAATCGGTTATTGGAATGAAGTCCCACCGAATGTTTATGTCAATATCAACATTAGCTATACATTTTATCATAAAGCTGTTCATGGTGCGCACTGGTGGTATTTGATGACTGGCATTTTTTGTTTGTTTTTATTTTTTGTATATGTTTTTTTCTTGTTGTTTAGTTTGTAAGTTAAATTGATGTTATATAGAACCTTTCTAACCCTATAAAAGTTAGAAGGTGCATATTTTTGTACGCAAGACATTGAATTAGGCTCAAGCTAACTCATATATAATCTTCAAATAAAATGAAAAAATAAATTTCATAAAATTGTAAGTATGTCGATTGGCATATTACTGTTTTTTACTACGACAAATTTTCCTTTATGATATGGACAAAAGTAGTAAAAACTAGTAGATTCTTGCAATACTGGAACATACCAATATCTTAACTTTTTGCGCCCTTAGTTTTGCAAGTTTTTCAACTGAACAAATGATCTGCGTACATTTCGAAGGAAGTCCTACTCGTTTCAATTTTGAAAGCTGAATGTTGTCAAAAGTAATATTAATTAAAAATTGGAAACATATGACTGCATAAAACTACCTTGTATATTTATACGTTGTTTATCTACTTTATTTTCATAAATAATTTTATTATTTACACAATAACAAATTGACGAGCATATTTATAATAAATAAGGAATGTTGTCGAAATAATAAAAAAAATAATAATCGAATAAATATTGATACATGTTCCTTTCCGGAAATATGCAACGGTTAAACAGATAAAACCGAAAAGAATACAGTACATTTCACTGGATGTATTCTCCAATTATTTATCTTAACTCGTTCTGTATTCTGGGACTCGGGTATGTTGTATTTCCTAAGTTTTTCATCCCCATCCACTCTATATCTCAACAGCGCTCTTAAATTTCCTTAATTCGGATTATCTACGTCTAGCGACTTCTCCTTAAGGCGATGTCCTCCTTTTACACATTCATAAAAAAGTAGAAATTGACTACAATGCATACAAACACAAAAATATATAATCATAATTTAACATGAATTGTAGCTATGTTCACTTTAATCATACGAAGAACGGAAACTCCGTTTACGTTTTTATGGAATTAATGTTTTCCAACGCACATACATGTAAATATGTATATTTATTTAGGCTCCCTAGTGACCAATCAATTTTTATCAGCAAAAGTAATCGTAGAAAACACGTTTACATTATTTCTCACAAAACAATCATCAAAATGTCCTCTATTGAGATATTTAAGTATTCATGTTTGATTTGTTTCAAAAGTATTGTTAAGAGGTATTAATTTTGCTTGTGGCTTTGTGCTCTTAAAAGCGATAGTATATATAAAGTAACATGTTTTGTAACCTTTACAAGAGATATGTATTAGAACCTAAAATGG